AGAGTATATAATTATTTTTAAAATATGATAATTTTTATATATAATTATTTTAAATTATTTTATATTTAGAACAATAATAATTCGAGCACGATCAAACAAATGACTTGTTCGTGTTTGGTTCGTTTATAAACCGAACGAAAAAAATTATTCGTGTTCGTCTCGTTTGCTTATCGAACAAATCGAACACAAACCTCTCGATGAACCGAACAGGAACTGTTCGCGAACAACGAGCTTTCTTGACAACCCTACATACAGACCCCAAAACTTACTATTTACGAATCAAGCACACTTTTTTCATCCTTTTTTTTAATTCTCACTAAAATATTGAAATTTATAATAAAACTCCAACTCATATTCTTCATTTTTATCAAATTCTACATAGTTTTACTGTTGCATGCACACATTGTTAGTTGGAGCCTGATTTTTTACTGTTCCAGTGAAGACACTCGCTCCCGCTTTCCCACTCCCGTATCCGATCAAGAAAAATCGTGACTTCTCTATGTCGGAGAAACGGTTCCCGCCAAGCTTCCCGACTCTACTGTTTAACTATTCCCGCCTCTCTATCCTTCTTCTTAAGTCGCAGTAACATAAAGAGGAAGGATAATCGCTCTCTTGGTATTCCTCCTCTAGAGTAATCAACGACACGGCCTTTTTGGTGTTCCTCTTCGGTCTTCCTTGGGATAGAGAAAGAGAACTGCAAGCAGTAGTTAATTGCGGCAGAAGGAAGAAGAAAAAAAGAGGAAGATTGTTCTCTCTTGGCTTCTTCTTGGTGGCTTGTGGCAGAAGAGAAATTCTGTTTATTTCTCTTGTAAATTTATCTTCTTCGGTGTATCTCAGTATAGAGATAGAAGAAGAGAAATAGAGGAAGTGAGAAGTTCTTTTTGTAATTGTTAAGCTAATCGACGACGGTGTAATTTCCTCAAGTAATAAAATCCTCTGCAACTCCGTGGATGTCGGCAATTTGTCGAACCACATAAATCTATGTGTTTCTCTGGTGTTCTTTTCTGGTGTAAATTTTTTCGTTCTATTTTTCACTTCGTTAAAGATCGTTCTTCTATTTTATTTATATATATATCACAACAACTAGTATCAGAGCGTGGTTTTGGATCTGAGGAAGATGATGGTTGTAGATGAAGTGAGGGTTTCAGGATCAAGAAGTTTGATGGCACAAATTTCAGTTATTGGAGGATGCAGATAGAGAACTACCTCTATGGGAAGAAACTTCATCTTCCGTTATTGGAGAAAAGACCGAAAGTATGGATGAGGCTGAATGAAATTTGTTGGATCGACAGATTCTGATGGTTATTCGATTGACCTTATTGAGGTTCATTTCACACAACGTTATCAAGGAAAGGAAGACTGCATATCTTATGACAGCCCTGTTAGGTATGTATGAAAAACCATTAGTAATTAACAAGGTATATCTTATAAAGAAATTATTCAATTTGAAGATGGAGGAAGGTACGTCTATTGTACAACACCTGAATTATTTTAATACTTTCACAAATCAATTACCATCTGCAGAAATTGAATTTGATGATGAGATACGTGCACTGATCTTATTGGCTTCATTGTCAAATAGTTGGGAAGCTATAAGGATGACTGTCAGTAATTCTGCAAATAAATCTAAACTGAAATATGAAGATATTCGTGATTTGATTTTGACTGAGGAGGTGAGCAAGAAAGATTCTGACGATATCTCAGGTTTGAGTTCAACATTAAATGTTGATTCCAGAGGGAGATCACATGACAGAAACTCAAATAGTGGAAGATCAAAATCAAAGAACAGAAGCAGGAGCAATCCAAGGCCTGGTAAACAAGTAACTTGTTGAAATTGTGGCAAAACTGACCACATAAAGAGGAACTGCATAAATCCTAAAAAGAAAGAGAATGACAGTGCAAATGTGATATCTGAAGAAGTCCAAGATGTACTATTGCTGACAGTTCATAGTTATGTTGATGATGGAAGTGAAGAGGAGAGTGGATCCGGGGCACCCATTCCTATTGTTCCATAGACAGATAGTTGAGAACCACATAGCTATGAAGAAATCTTGCAAGATGAAAGTTCGAGCAAGTGTAAGCTGGCAGAACTTCCACAAGGGAAGAAGATATTACACAACAAGTGAGTGTATTAGGTGAAGACTGAGTTTGATGACAGTAAGAGGTACAAAACTAGATTTATTGAAAAAGGATTTCAGCAGAGGCATGATATTGCCCATGTAGTGGGAGTTGTAAGCAAGACAAGAGTAATCCAGAAAATAGCTTGAAAGTGCAAGGCTATGTGGATCCTCCTGATATATTAACTAAGGGTGTTACTCTTGAAAAGCTGAAGTTGTGTACAACTTCAGTTGGTCTTCTGGTATGAAGACAGATGCTTTGGGTTGTAGAGGTGGAGAATTTATCTTTGAAGAAAAAGGCGACACTACCAGTAGAAGATATCAGTTTGAGAAAGGAGATGTTGATGCTTGTGTACCGGTCTCTAAGTAGGAGATTTGTTAGTTGCAGCCCGATTTTTTTACTGTTCCGACGAAGACACTTGCTTCCGTTTTCCCGCTTTCGTATCCGATCGCAAAAAATCACTACTTCTCTCTATCGGAGAAACGGTTCCCGCCAAGCTTCCTGCCTCTACTGTTTAACTGTTCTCGCCTCTCTATCCTTCTTCTTAAGTCGTGGTAACATAAAGAGGAAGGATGATCGCTCTCTTGGTATTCCTCTTTTAGAGTGATCAACGAAACGACATTTTTGGTTCTTCTTCGGGCTTCATCGGAGTGCAAGCAGTAGTTACTTGCGATAAAAGGAAGAAGAAAGAAGAAGAAGATTGTAAGATTGGAAGAAGAAAGAAGAAGAAGATTGTTCTCCCTTAACTTCTTCTTGGTGGCTTATGGCAGAAGAGAACTTGGGTTTATTTCTCTTGTAAATTTTATCTTATTCTGTGTATCTCGATGTAGAGATAGAAGAAGAGAGAGAGAGGAAGTGAGAAGTTTTTCTTGTAATCGTTGAGGTGATCAACGACAATATAATTTCCTCAAGTAATTCAAGTAATAAAATCCTCTGCAACAACTCTGTGGATGTAAGCAATTTGCCGAACCACGTAAATTTGTGCATTCCTCTGTTGTTATTTTCTTGTGTGAATTTTCTCGTTCTATTTGTTCGTTTCATCATCGATCCATTGTTCTATTTTTAAATATATTACAACACACATCAGTTTGGTAGTGCAAAAAAAGCACATGAGTGGTTAATATCAATGTTTGAGTTTGTATGTATGTAATTATCACATCATTCTCCCAAAATTTAATAAAAAAAATTTTTTTTGATGTTTTTACATACAACGGCCTCCAAATATTAATATTGCATGTAGAGGCACTGTTATGCAACGTTAAGAGTAGTGACTACAAAAGTCTGTTGCTGTGACACTCATCAACGAGATCACCCCTTCCACTGTCTATGTTTTGTTAGAAAGGTGTGGGATGTTGAAGTTGGGGAAAACATATGTCCCACCATCCCGGCTATGCAGATATGAATTCCCACAAATCACCCGCCATTCTGTGTTTCGAAAACTAGCCCGGCTAGCATTCCACATCCCGCTAAATGCCTCTCTGTCCTGCCAGCTATCTTCCTGATTCCAGCATTTCCAATTCTAGATCTCACGGGCTCGTTGTTAAGCTTGGCGTCATCGTCTTCAAACGTCATCCTCATCTTCCCTTCCATGTTCGAGGGTTTAGGACGTTGAAGATGAAAATACCGGTCGTTAAACCAAGGGAAGATCTCACCGATGAGCTTTCGTTCATTAGTGACAACTGGACAGACCTCTGTGGTCATTGTTCTCAATGTCCTCGTAATAGTGCTCTCTACGTTTAATATTAATATTTAAGAGCAGTGGTAGATAATATTGAAGGTTTTAAGACATTCGTATGTAAAAACACCCTTTTTTTCAGATTTTCTCTTATGTTTGTTTAGTCCCACATCAATGAGAGAACTTTTTTACAGCCTTACAAGTCTTTAAATATATGGAGGGAAATCACTCCTTCAAGGTTGATACTCCCTTTTGAGTTTTGGTTGTTCAGCCCAAATTCGAGTCGAACATGAGCTAATTCAAACAAGCAAACTTGAATCAAGAAGAACATATATGTGTTATTTATAAGTTGATTCAAACACAAGCTCATGTCGAAGAAAAAAAAAATTGAATGAGTTGATTAAGAACAAACACTAGGTTCACTCAGACTCGACTCATTTACACTCCTATGCGGAACATTCCTTTGCCTACGTGGTAAGAAAAACAAACTCAAAGCTCACTCTTCATGCCCATTTGTGACTCCCTTGACACTCGTGGATTTGTCTTATCAATGATAAAATTGAACAGGTCTCATATCGTATGACCTATAATTTATTGTTTCCTTATTCTTTTATATTTTTCTTAGCCCTATACCCTATAGGGACAAAAACATTTAGAGTGATATAAATGGGGAGAGAAAAAAAGAGGGAGCCATAAAAAATGATACACCAAACCTGAAATTATCTACTCATATTCTCCTCCTTCACTTACCTACAAGGTTTTTTTCAGGCCGTACAGGCTGCATATCATTATCTAAAGTATGCCTAAGCATTAATAATAAACTGCATATCATTATCTAAAGTATGCCTAAGCATTAATAATAAACTGCATATCATTATCTAAAGTATGCCTAAGCATTAATAATAAACTGCATATCATTATCTAAAGTATGCCTAAGCAGTTAATAATAAACTGCATATCATTAATAATAAACTGCATATAAAATTTCAACTCACACACGTGCCACACACGGCATCTCCCAACCCGTTCCACAATATGCCTAAGCAGGCAGGGGGCCCACAGAACACGACCAGCTAACACCAACTCTAGTTACCCAACTATAGTTAAATCAAATTCACAATGCAGCCACGTGTAAGAATCAACGGTCAAGAGCCCTCCCTTCGTTAATGTCCACTCACCATACTTCCTATTTAAGCCGATGGACCCAAAACCCTAATTCTCATCCAGGACTGCAAGGCAAGCAAACCCTAACCCTAATCCGCAACAAAAAAGATGTCTGCCAATCCGCGCGTTTTCTTCGACATGACGATCGGCGCCTCCCCAGCCGGTCGCATCGTCATGGAGCTTTTCGCCGACACGACTCCACGCACGGCCGAGAACTTCCGAGCACTCTGCACCGGCGAGAAGGGCATCGGCAAGTCCGGGAAGCCGCTTCATTATAAGGGATCGGCCTTTCACCGCGTGATCCCTCAGTTCATGTGCCAGGGCGGAGACTTCACTGCCGGAAATGGAACCGGTGGAGAATCGATCTATGGTGCGAAGTTCGCCGATGAGAACTTTACGAAGAAACACACCGGTCCCGGTATTCTATCCATGGCTAACGCGGGATCGAACACGAACGGGTCCCAGTTCTTCATCTGCACGGAGAAGACAGCTTGGCTCGATGGAAAGCATGTTGTATTTGGCCAAGTTGTGGAGGGCTTGGATGTTGTGAAGGCAATTGAGAAGGTGGGTTCTTCGTCTGGACGGACTTCCAAAGAGGTGAAAGTCGCTGACTGTGGCCAGATCTCTTAAGAGGCTTATCGTTGAAGATCGGCCGTCAGTAACTCTATCGATGTGTTCTGGCCTTCTATCTTCTATCTTGCGCTGATGTCTGCTGTGCTATCTTCTTGTGTTGGTTTCCGTTCTGTATCGATCTATGTTTTCTTGTTATGACTTGAATTTCTTATCAAGTTTCTCCTTTTATGATATCGAGTCGCTGAAAAATCGAGTTGCTGATATTTAGAATATGAATAAATCGAAGTACTTCCATCTGAAGGTTTTCCGCTTGACTTCTTCCGATTTTTTTACTGGTATGAATGGAAATGGAAATCTATGTTTGGATTTTCCGTTTTTTTTTTGGGGAAAATTGGTGTTCAAAGGTTGGATTTAAGATTGAAGGACATAAACATAAATTTTTATTTTAAAAATGCGTTTTGATTGCTGCTTCAAGTTGTTGCATTGAAGCTGTTGCGGATATGTTAATTGGCTGTTTGTTTTTGTTGGATTGAAAGCAGTCATGGCAACAGCTGTTATTGGACAAATGATAAATTTGTCATTGTATAGTAATGATTTTTGTAATAGAATTGTCATAGTTATGAATTTAGTATTTCATAAGCAAAAATCTATCTTAGAAGAGTACCAAAATTCAGATAAACACTTTATTTAATAGTATCAAAATTGCTAAAAAAGAAAAAAACATTATTAAAATTACAATTAATAATATTGGAATATTAACTTTAAAAATGTAGATGACTAATGTCCTGTGGTACGTCGTACACTAGAGATGTTATCAATTTATGATCACTGCCGGCAGTGGAATCTGGTTGCATCTATGTATATCAATATCGTATTGGTTAACACAGAAAGATTAATGAATTAGTTAAAATTATATAAGGAGTAATGAGTTAATGTCCCAAGAAAAATGAAAAATAATAAACAAGTTTAAATGTACCAAGCGATTATAAATAAAAAAAAAGTTAAGAAATGTTGATGCGAATATAAAATGTCACCTTATATGCCACCTTAGAGCCATCGAATATCTTGAGGAATTAATCTCTACGGGTTAGATTTTCAAGCAATTCTATCATAAACAAGTACCGTGGTTAATCTTTTGAAATTTTACTAGTTACATTTAGAATTTGCAGGACTTAGTAGATAGAATTTGCTAGAGATGGGTGAGATTCAGCGTTGCAAGAAGCCATCAGCTGTGATATCTGACTTCAAAGAAAAGCAATCCCAACTTTCTTTTTATTCTCAACTTGCGAACGTTTAGAGCAAGAGCTGGACTCAAGTTTATGAACGTTCGGGTTGGGGACTTCGGTTGAATGACCTGATTAATCGACTCCCAAGTTCTCGGGGTGCCACAAAATCATGTCCCATTTGAAGCACATGTATAGTTATTCGTAGCAACGAAACCCCTAAACATTTGATCAAACTTCTCCTTCAACTCGTGATTAAGTTCACAAATTTTAAATTTATTTGTTGTGTGCACTACCTACAAATTCGTAACATACAATTCAATTTAAAAACAAAATGAAAATGACCAAATTATGATGCATGTCAAAAATGTTTGCTGCATGTCTTTCTCCACACCACTCCTCAGGAGCATCAATGGTTCGATTCACTAGATCTCACCCCAAGCTCGTTGATCATCGTTTCAATTCCTTCCAAATTTTTCAATCATTCTCGAGTTGATCTCACATGTTCTTCAAGTGCATCATGTCATACTATTTGTTTGTATTTTTCTTGATTTTTTTTATAATATTTTGTCACTCTTTCTTTTCGAAATAGGTGGGTCTATTTCCCAGATCGATTTTCATGAGGCAAATGTTACAAAGTATTGTTTTAATTTTTTTGTCCCACATTGCGGATGTACCAACCTCTTTGGTCTTGGCCATTATTTTACTTTGATTAAAAAAAACAAAGTTAAATAAATAAGAATGCAACAATGCATGCACATGCCAACAGTCAACCACCCCAACCCACAACCACAACCACACAACCCAAGGCACACACATGCAGCACAACCCACAACCACCACCACACCATCACCACACCACCCCAACTCACAATCACCATAACCCACAACCCGCAACTCAAATTATAGGAAATATGCTCTGAATTCACACAACCACAACACCTCAACCCACAGCCACAAACGCAACTCATAACCACATAGAACCACAACCCGCTGCCACCCCACGACCAACAGCCACAACAGTCATTCCACAACCCCCAACAACACAACATAACATCAAGCCACAACAACCATTCCAACTTTTGAGCTCAAGTAACATATCAAAAAATAGGTAACATATTATACATATAGAAGAGAGTAGTTCCAACACTATAGCTACCATAAAGCACAACCCACAAGCCACAGCCAGCACCTCAACCCACGACCACCACCCCAACACATAGACACCACCCAACCGCAAGACCCACTGCAGAAATTAGAGCTAGTACACAACCACAGAAGCCCAGCCCAACCCACAAGTACCACCACCCCCAATCCACAGCCACCACCCCAACCCACAACCACCACACAACCACAGATTCAACAACACAAGCTTGAGTCACCACGCAACTACAGAACCCCACCACAACCCACAAGTACCAACACCACCCCAACTCACAACCACCACACAACCACATAACCCACAACACAAGTTAACCCCCTAAAGAAATACAGAATCTAACCCCAACTCACGAGTACCACCACCACACAACCACAACCAGCAACCCATACTAGAGCCATCATCCCAACCCACAACCACAAAACCCACAACGCAAGCTTGAGCCACCATGCAACTACAAAACATTCACTAAAGCAAAAAATTAAATCACATTGGTGGAATGCTTTTCTTATATTTTTCTTATGAAAGTAAATGAAGAGAGTATAAAAAGTCAAAGTCTCACGTATGAAAGCACTTACATGTTTAACATTAAAAAAAATAAGTTACTGCCAAACAACAGGAGCTCCTGACCTCTCCAAAACTTGTTAATCAATCTTTCTTAACTTCTAAAACTAAGAAAACATATTATTATTTAAAATAACAGAAGCATTACTCCACAGCGTTGTCATGATTGTATTTAACAAGCTAAAATAATCATCCACAACAACTCTATTCCCCATACCCATCTCTCCCGATGATTAATCAACAAAGAAGATAAATATTGCAGATCTAGATAACACAGTAGAAAAGACAACAATGACTACTGCCAAATAAAATTTTGGGGAATTTACATGCATATCATAGGACTCTTATGTATTTGACATATCTAACACCTAAACTTTCATATCTAGACACAGCATAGAATGCTTTAACATCAACTTAGAAATTTTGGTATTTTTGATGAATAACCTACATGGAACTTTCTCTATCTGTTAGTACAATTGTGTTACGTTATGACGAGAATTTATACTGGCTTGAACATTATATTTTCTATCTTTAAGGAAGTTGATAACAAACCTTGGATGGACAATATGCCCAATAATAAGCATTCACATGCATACCACGGAATTCCTATGTATTTATAAATCCAATATCTAAACATTACTTCTCACATTCATTTCACATAAAAAAAACACCATTTTAACATTAAAAAGTGAAGTTCAGGTGGTAGGTATGTGCACAAGAATTAAGTATTATGTATGTAATCTTCCATTAAGTGGTATGTATGTAATCTTTCATAAAAACGGCATCAGACGAACTACTACTAAAAAAATACAACAACATATACTCCACGAGAAATGTAGAGTTATGAAACGAATCTTGGTGTCGCACGGTTCCTCAATTTATTGTTTAAAATAAATTGAAATAAAATCGTTGCTTACCCTGGAGAACAAAGACTAGAGGAACCAAGATTGTAGGGGGATGTGTGGCAAAACCCTAACGAAGCCGAAGCGAGAAGGAGAAGGGGAAGCGAGAGATCACATAGTTCTGGTCGCGGCTTCAGGCAGACGAGAGAATACTTCAAGCTCCAAATAGCGAAACTAATGAGGGCAACATACTAAAAATTTACATAGGAAACACAAGCCGCAGGGTTGATTCAGCAGCCCACGTTTCAGGCAAAATGCACCGTGCCGTGCGTAGAAGGCCGCCCCAAAAGGTTGAATATCATGGCTACATACCACGCCTCTACCCAAACGCCACCCCAAACATTAATTTTTGCATTTCCATTAATACCAAATCACTTTAATTTAATTATAGATTAAATACCCAAATTTTAATATTTATATTTCTAGCATTTATTTTAATATCACATTAAAAATTTCATCTTTTTTATTTTTTTGAAAGTCAAGTATATATTTTCATATATAAATTTAGGAATTTCTACGGGTATATCACTAAACAACCACTTGCACACATATCTAACTAAAATTTAATTTTTACATGTATGCCAATTTACATGTGCAATAGATAAGAATTGCATATTATGTATTTAATTGCCCCCATAATTTTATAACAATAGCTATAAATGAATTAAAAATAGAAGGCATACAAGTGTTGTATATACATATCTCAGACCTAGACTTCATATATTTACATAAGAGAATAGTGGCGTATGCATGTAAATTTTTCCTTTTCATTTTTCTCTGCTAAGGAATCGACAAATTAATGGTGTGTTTGGGGCAGTTTGTTCATTTCAGGATAAGCAGCTTATCCTGAAACGCGACCCACGGGTCGACCGCGGGTTTGACCCGCGTACTGCATTTAATATAAAAATGAAACCACATTTTTGGATAAGCAGGCGAAACGCATGAATCAAATGATACTGCGGAATTTTAAAAAATGCCCCCACACTTATAAGCAGACTCTAAACGTAGGCAAAAGAAAAATCCTTCAGGATAAGCAGCTTATCCTGAAACGCGACCCACGGGTCGACCGCGGGTTTGACCTGCGTACTGCATTTAATATAAAAATGAAACCACGTTTTTGGATAAGCAGACGAAACGCATGAATCAAATGATACTGCGAAATTTTAAAAAATGCCACCACACTTATAAGCACTCTAAACGTAGGCAAAAGAAAAATCTTTGTTAAATGAATTCTGTTCACGTGATTTTTTCTCTTTTAATTATTTATGCATTATTATTGTTTATCCATTTTAAAATTTAATGGATGGCCTTTTGGCCCTGCGATTCGGCCCATCGCATGGACGGCTGTGATTAATGTATGGGTGCGGAAATTAGGGTTTGCTGCCTTAACGCATATATATAAATATATATTTAAATATATATATATATATAAATATATATATATAGATATATT